CACACAACAGTTGCTGAGCACTTACTTCCATGTCAGGCCCTGCCCTGGATACTTTAAGTTAATATCAATGAATTCTTCCAACAATACAACAAACTAGACACTGTTAAAATCCACCTTTCCTGGGTGGAGAATTTGAGATATCGGAGTATTAAGACAGGAACTTTTCCCAAGGTCACACAGCAAAAATGATGAGTGATGCTGTGGCTGGGATTCAAACTCAGCCTAGAGGTGATCTTCCCTAGAGGTTACCTAGAGGTACCCAACACAGATGGGCATCACCTGAGTGATGCTGTGGTTGGGATTCAAACTCAGCCTAGAGGTGATCTTAGCCAACGCAGATGGGCATCAAATACAATGGTCAGGGAAACAGTGGGGTGCAGGCTTTTATGTAAGATAGTGCATATGCGAGCCTTCAAAGCATGTGTAGATTAAAATAATCCCAGGTATTGACTATTAATATAGAATTGCCTTGTGGTGGACTGGGGGAAGCTATTTCTAACTCCTGAGAGTGGCTCACTAAGAAAAGAGGGGGAGGAGGTAACAGAAGAGATTTAGCTGTTCTCTCTAATGTCCTGTCTACTTGAAAAGGAAAGCCAGTGGAATCTGTCTGTAGTCTTAGCTACTCTGGAGGTCGAGGCAGGAGGATCATTGAGACCAGAAATTATCGGCCAGTCTGTACAACATCACAAGACTCTGACTTTAGTAATTAATTAATTAATTTATTTTCCTTTTTAATATAAATCTATAAAAGAATTCAACTTTAAACTAATCATTCAACCCAACAGAAAGTATGTGGCCCTTGGAAGAGCATTTCAACAGCTAAACCCTCTTCCTGTACTTGGGAAATTTACCCTTGTGGAAGTCTAGATGGAAGGCAGGACTCCAGTTCCTTCTGTAGAAGTCATAACATCAAGCACATGTTCCCTAAGATATCTGGTCTTTGGGCCATGGTCAGGTGACAGAATGGGACCCCCTGGGACCCCTACTCTAGACAAGAGTTGGACAGACACAGAACCACTCACAGTTGATTCTACTGGTAGCAGACATGCCAACCAGAGTGTAAGTGACCGCAACAACCACACAATGCCGGCACCCCAGGGCCTCCTGTCCCCTCGCTGACTTCAGATTCTCCTCATCTTTCAGGCTTGTTTCTCCCGGACCTTGACAGTTCTGAGAATCAACCAACCAGTCAACGCAGCTTTCCTCGTTTGCAACTAAGAATTCTGAGGGTATACAGTGGTTGCCTTGTCCAGCATAGCTTGGTTCTGGAAACTTCGCTGGGGGAACCAGAGGATGAAGAACGGACAGACACACGTACAGAAAAGGTGAGAGAAGGTGGGCTATGCTTGCTCTGCTGGAACACCACCAACTATGTAACAACCCAGAACCTCGGAGTTCTTATGTGGAGTTCTTATGTACAGCCCAGGAAGAGGTTAACTGGTCTCAGAGGGAAGTCTCCGCAGGCAAGGGGACTGAGCTGCAGTCATGGGGAGGAGAAAGCAGCAGTTGCTAGTTTTCGCACACACTGGTCAGTCTTTTCTTGGATCAGAGGAAGGATTCGCCATTCCTCTGAGCCCCACCCAGAGGAAGGCTTTTGCCAGTTCTGATGGATCTGAGACACTAGGGCCCTGGACATGGCTGTACCTGTGTCAAGGACACACATGTCAGAACTTCATCTACTCCTTACATATTCACTGGGGGCTTCCTCCACCTTCCAAAGTGGTGACCATCGTTACTAATGATATGTTATTATATCGTTGAAAAATGCTAAGAGATTATGTTTAAGATATTCACACCACCCTGTTGCAGGCAAGAACTCTACAGCAGTCTCACTATGTAGCTCAGCATGAAAATCACATGTAGACCAGGCTGACCTCGAACACACAGAGATCTGCCTGCCTCTGCCTCCTGAGTGCTGGGATTAAAGGTGTGCACCATCACACCTAGCTGAGATGATGTTTATTTTTAAACTAAGCTATGCATTTCAATAGTGTACAACTGATTAGGAGGAAAAAACAAACAAATTATACTTTCTTACAAAAATTTATACAGGCGTATTTTAGGAACTTGAGAAAATCCCAGTTAGCCCACAGACATGTTCCCTAGGCCTGCCACTGCTTCCCTTCACAGGGGTACTGTTCTGGAAGCTATGGTTCAAGACACATAATTTTTCTTGAGGAGTATCATCAACTGTTTGCCACTTAATGTCCAGCAAATGTCTTTACATTTACCTGCTGAATTATCTTAAACAGTTGCATAGATTTTATCCCATGAGACACACATATTTATATCTGCCTCTGCCCTTTCTCAGATGATAAGGTGAAATAAAGACGTTTTTTGGAGAAAAGGGAGACTGAGAACTTGTCGCCGGCTGATTTACCCCACCAAGAAGTGTTAAAGAAAGTTCTTCTGGGGTTGGAGATGGCCCAGCAAGTAAGGGCACTTGTCACCAAGCTGGACAACCTGAGTTCAATCCCTGAGACCACACGGTAGGAAAAAGAACAATTCCCCCAAAGCTGTCCTTTGACCTCCAAAATGCACTGTGGCCCTACACTTGTGTGCATGCGCATACGAATAAATGAACGTTTAAAAATCAAAGCAAGTTCTTGAGCTAGAGAGGTGGCCTAGGGGTTAAAAGCACTTGCTGCTCTCATAGAGGACCTGAGATCGGTTCGCAGCACCCACGTCACACAACTACCTGTAACTCCAGCTCCAGGGGATCCAACACCATCTTCTGGCCACCAAGGGCATTGCACACATACATACACAGAAACAAAACAAATCAATCACGCTAAACAAGCTCTTTAACAAGGTAAGCAATGAAGCCAGAACAAACTGGGGGGGGGGGGGTTGCGTGTGTGCGCGTTCTTCTGGCCAAAGGAAAGCTATTCCAGAGCACAGATCTTCATAAAGGACTGAAGAGCACTCGACTTCTCCAGTAGCCCACACCCAACGTGCTGTTATTCCAGAAATAAAAACATTTCAGACACTTTGATTCTGCTCTAACACCTTGATCTCACCCTTCACGTTGAAGATATGGCATCCCCAAGTCCACTTGAAAAGAACTGGACATAGATGAGTAATCCTGGGGAGCTAGGGAGACCGGAGTGTGTGAACTCCAAACTTCTTCGCCAGCACTGACCTGGCCAGAGCATCACAGATCCTAAGCTCTGATGCAGACCGCCTCTCTTTTCACCTAGAGAGCATCACCGCTGAAGAGATCTTTTTAGATCCCTTTTTATTGCAGTTTGATGTTAAAAACCAAAGGATGAATGCTTTGGCATTTGCAATACCAAGGGATCGATTTTTCAGAGATCCAGTTCCTTTTCACATCTGTATATCCACAGAGACAAAAAATAAGAAGAAGAAATAAGAAACCACTGTGAGTTGTAAGTCCTTCAGGGACTCACAATCATTGATGTCAGACACACGTCAGCACTCCAGTGATGGAAACCACACAGACTTTCTGAATCATCCCTCCTGTTGCTTAGCTCCAGGCGCTGAGCTGAGGCTGTGACAAGTCCCTGGGCTTAGTGAGGTGTAGCCAACAGCTGCATCTCTGAGAGATTGAGGTTTTCAAATAGTCCTTGAATCTCAAAATGTGTTGCTCATTGCCCCGACCCACCGCACACATCGTCTCGGTGACTTGGAGCAAGCTACCTAACCATCTAAAAACCTGGCATCCGTCGGCTAGTGATGGGTCTATTGGCCATAGTTGACACATAGGATTTAGATGTGGCCTTCACAGACTCTAAGTGATCACACATGATACATATCTAAAATACACAACAATGCAAATATATGTATATATATATATATGTATATGTGTGTGTGTGTGTATGTGTGTGTATTCACATGGTCTGTGCAACCGGTGAGGAGGCTGCAGAAGAGAGTTCAAGGAACTCCAAAAAAACGACAAAACCGGCAAGAGACAGAGGTCAAAGTTCACACTCCAGCTCTTAACCTTCACACCATACAGCCTTGGGCAAAGGAGAAGAAAAGATTTATTTGGGGGCCATGGTTTCACAGGTTTCAGGCCATGTTCCCTTGGCTCCACTGTGCCTGGCGGGGATGGAGCAAAGCCGCTACTCACCTCCGAGTGAACAGGGGTGGGGAGGAACCCCTAAGTTATACCCCCAAGAACCTAAGGACCCACCATCTTCAACTAAGTTCCACACCCTATGTTTTTATCGCCCTCCAATAGCCCATCAAATCATGAATCTATCAACGGATTAGCACGCTGATTTGTTCAGGGCCTTCATGATGTAATAACTTTCCTAAAGTCCTCTTCACCTTGCTGCCTTGAGGACCAAGACCTCGACCATGAGCCTTTGGGGAATATTTCACATCTATATCATAATAATGTAAATAGTCAAAAACTATAGCAAAATACAAAAAACTAAAATAAAATAAAACTTTCTCCGTGTTCCTACCACCATGTCTGTCACCACAGCCTCCGTTGATGATGCCGGATGTCCACTGGGAAAAGCACTTTACTCAAAGTATGGTTGGAGCTAGGGGGCTCCCCTGTGGTCACTCTTGGAGTTCGGTCTGACATACCAGCCTAAATCAAATTTCTCATCCCTAAAGAATGTAGTCATTTGTTCATTGAACCAGTGTTTGCTGAGTGTATATTATGTATCAATGTGTGGAAATTCGGTGAAAAACAGTGAGATGTGAAGCCAGGATTCAGTCCTTGCTACCTGTTGTTTTAGAAGCCAATGAGCAGAGACAAGAACAAACTGTTCTATTCAGAGAGCCACCAGTCTGAGAAGACAGCGGGCTAGCATCTTTAAAACCTGTCTTATGCTGGGTGGTGGTGGTGACTCATGCCTTTAATCCCAGCACTTGGGAGGCACAGGCAGGTGGATCTCTGTGAGTTCAAGGCCAGCCTGGTCTACAGAGTGAGATCCAGGACAGGCTCCAAAACTATACAGAGAAACTCTATCTCGGGGGGGGGGGGGGAGGAAAACAAAAAACAAAAAAACCCACATACATACTGTCAGTCAGCAGATTGTACAAGGAGAAACAAAAGCAGTTGATCATTCCAAAGTTAAGTCTTGTCCGTCTGGTCAGATGGCCAGCCTTGTCTCTGAGATTTACAGCGCTGGTATTCATAGGGATTACAGGCAGGCAATCATAAGGATAGCTTGGTAAGCTGGAACCCCACTCAACTTGAGGCACACATACATTCCTTTCCTAACAAAGTTCCTAGCAACCGGAACTCCTGCCTGCAATTGACCCCTCTCCAAACAAAGCAGCCAAACATCTGAGCTACAGCTCCTTAGCAACCAACCCTTAATAACTCACTCTCTTCTGTGACAAACACATCCTGAAGCACACCCTAGATAGAACCAGGGAGAGTGTATCAGTCCAGTTTGGACTGGTTTTAGGTGCATGTGTAGTAAGGCAAACTGTCCTCTGGGTAAATTAGGGACAATCCATATTTGTCATCTTGTGTATCATGGGAAAGGACATGTACAATAAACAGAAGCTTACAGTACCCAAGCTTGTCAATCAAAACCACACATACTCCACCTCTGCTAACCAGCTCCTCCTCCTACACCCATCAAAGGAAACCCACCCTTTACCTCCTCCTAGAGTATTTAGACTCCTGTGAACGCACCCTTTCCCAGAGCCTGCTGCCTCTTGTACCCTTGATCCTGGGCTTTCACTTTGCTTCTGAGTAAAATCCCTTGCCGCTCTGTGCTTCTTCAATTCTTTCCAGCAAGGTGCTAGGAATCTGGAAACACCTGGTCCAGATCCAGACCATGGGTGACAGAGATTCTTCTCTTACAGCCCCCTCTCTCATTAGAGAGGGGTTTTCACAGACACTGGTGTCACCGAGTTTTGTATCCATCCTGAATCCATCTGAGTTACATCCAGATCAAAAGTTAACTCAGATCAGCAGTGTGTACAGGCTACTTCCACAAATGAAGAGCAAGTGCGCTCTTGCAATACAGACTCTAAAGTGTCCCTTCCCATCCCCTAACAAATAAGAGACCTTGCCTTCGCAGGACATGTAAGCCTGAAGAGGAAGTCCATACTGAACTCATGGTGATTAAGAGCTTGAAGACAGGGCTAGAAAATAAGAGGAAATTCAGCAGAAGAGCTAACATTTGGGGCAGATTTCGAAGAAAAAGTAGGAGTTTGCTAGTCGGTGAGGAGAATGAAATTCTGAATAGGGGAGGGGCACATCCGAGGAGAGGAAAGGAAAGGTATGTGAGGCTTCTGTGTTCGTGGAGCTGTGAGGAAGAGCAGGACAGCACGTTAGACACCAGGCAGGCTTTGACGGAAGGCTGACTAAGCTGAGCGGTGTGTTTCTTCATAATCTACGCAGCAATACGGTGACAGGGAGGAGCACAAAAGAGACAAATCAACAAAACACGGAGTAGAAGGAGGGAGGTTGTTATTGAGCTACAAAGTAAGTCATCTGGCGGAAAGCACCGGGAAGAGTGTGAACACACGGAACAGTAAGGAAGCTGTATTAGTTACTTTTCTATTGCTGTGAAAAACACCAAGGCAACCTGTAGAAGGAAGAGTCTATTTGGGGCTTACAGTTCCAGAGGGATAGAAGTCCATCACCATCACAGCGGGCAGCATGGCAGCAGGCAGGCAGGCAGGCAGATAGGCAGACAGGCAGGCAGGCAGGCAGCAGGCAGACAGAGAGGCAGAGAGGCAGCAGGCAGGCAGG